CCTTCACACCTGCCTGAGATTTCCTTCTTCTTGTTGCTTTTCTGTTTTTTGTGGGTTTTTATTTGTTTTTGTGTCTGTCCGGTTTCTTTCTGCTCCCTGCCTGTGTGCGGCGGGCCGAGCGGCGCGTGGGCTCGCGGCTGCGCGCGGAGCGGAGCGCAGGCCCCGTCCGCGCAGGGGAGCCGCCTTCCCGCCACCTGCTCCCGCGCGGGGCCGCGGTGGCAGAGCGAAGCTGGCAGCGCGAGCTGGCGCTCAGAGCGAGGACATGGGGTGCCCGCTGCCCCAGCTGAGGCTGCCCAATGTAATTGCCCTTCGGGCAGCAATTCGTGCCAGCGCGAGGGTCTCCAGAGGCCTCCTGCAGACCAGCCTAAGCTAGAGCCGCTTCTGCTTCCCCATCCCTCAGCTGCCATGTTAACCTTGTATTAATTCGAGCCTGAACCCCTAGAYTGATATTAACCAGATTTTCCTAATAACCAGGTGGGGAAAAATGACTTGTTTTGAAGCCCTGAAAGGAGAGGGGAAAGAAAGCAACAGCAAGGGTGGGAAGGCCTTGTGAGAAAGACCTTTGCCCTCCCTTCACGCTTTATTCTGGCGCAGAGAAGACACCCCACGGCAGCTGAGCTCCTCTGGCGCTCACAGGCTGCTCGGCACTCACAACAGCAACGGGGCTGTGGTTAAACCAGCAGCAGCARCAGCAGCTCCCCAAGCTGCTTCTCAAGGTGTCTGTGACCTTAAGACAGAAGAACCAGTAAGGGCACATGGCCCGAAAATAGTTAATGCTTTAGTTATCTGCAGTGAAAATAAAACCATTTAAATTCTAGGTACCACAAGAACCTTACAGCCAAGGTCAGTGCCAAGAGGGCAGGGCAGGTAGSAACTAGGGGACCCTTAAATATTCCCTTCTCTGGGGCTCACGGTTTCCCCAAATGCTGGAGATTCAGGGCACTGTCGAGATCTCATCCACATCCTCCTCTGAAGAGCTCTGAGTTAAATGTCAAGCACTGCCACAGTCCTTTCAAATTTCTTYTTATCTAAAATATAATAATACCTCTCTTGTTAGCTAAAATATTCACGATCTGTAACCGCCTCTCATCCAGAGCCGGGTGTCCCAGCGCAGCAGTGCTGAGCACTGCGGCGCCGCCGGCCCCAGTGCGACGAGGGGACAGGCACGAGCTGAGGCGGCTGCCAAGCCCGGGCTCCCTCTGCGCTCCCTCCCGCCTCCCTGTCTCCCCGGAGATGTCCAGGCCCCRCGACAGGCGCAGGGAGGAGCGCGCTGCCCCCAACGCAGCAGGAATGGCTTGCGAGAACTGCTGGGGCTGCCATTAAAGAGACCGTTAAACTGACAAAAAACTCAAATTTGTTATTTAACTGTGCAGCAAACAGGAAGTAACTCAGCCAGGAAAGCCAGTACTTAGTTTGGTTTGTCCTAACTTTAGTTTTTCTTTAATGCAAGTTCAGGGAGCTTAGGTAGTCCTTCTTCAGCAGAACTTCACAAGCTTCTGCAAAACTCCACAGTGTGTCATTTTTTTACTTTTATTTTCTTCTGCTAATTTAAAAGTGCTTGTATCAAATATTTTGCAGTAGGTGAAATGAACTGTGGTAAAGGTACAAGATTTGCTGCTGTAATGTACTGAACTAGGTGACAGCAATGCTTATGACCAGCATAATCTCCACGAAGAACTGGAGTGTAATTTGATTTTTACTTTGTTATCTTAGGAAAGGTAACTCAGATTGTTTTACACTAAATKATAAACTAAACTAATGAATGAAGCTTAACTGTTACCTTAATGTGCTTCATTCTTCATTAAATCCTTGCTTAAGAAACAATTCAGCAGCAATCAGAAATGCCTGGAAGTCAGGATGCTGCTGCTGAGCACCAGCTCCGGCTGGGAGATGCRAGCACGTCGGCTCCACAGCTCGCAGCGAAGCCCGGGCACAGCAGCTCTTTCTGCTTGTTCAAAAATATAAATAGATTTTAAATGCCAAGATACACAAATACAGTCACATTTCTACAGTTACGAGTGGTGGCCTTGCTCGCTGACAGCAATGCCATCACGTACCACTGTATTTAACAGCTTCATTCAGCTTCCACTTATTGGTCCTGTGTTTCCAGGGCTGTTATTGCTGAGTGGCTCCTTGAAGAAATGTTAGGCTGCAGATTCCTTACCCAACCTTACACTTCACAGATATATCCGATTGCTACATTCAGAAGCACAGTCTCCCATGGGATTTGAGATTCACCCGTCTACCTATATGATATCCCAGAAAACTAATCTCTAGGATGACAGCTCGTTCAGCACTCTGGAAAATTTACCCACATTGAGCTCCTCTTTAAATAATGACCTGACATTTGTTCTGTAGAGGGAGACAAAGCCCAGACTGATGAAAACAGTTGGCAGCTGCTTTCATTTGTGCCATTCAGAAGCGGGATGATAATTTCTCCACAGGGACCCATCAGTTCTTGGCAGACAGACCTGTCCAGTGTTCTTTGCTATTACTCTTGCTGCTGCCTCCTGTCCCTAGCATAGGCACCACACAGTCCCRATATTCAAGACAGCCAAAGCCAGAACCAACTGCGAACGGTCATGAAGRTTTCATGGTTCTGAGAAGTGGGAGATAAAACCACGATGATGATACGTACACAGTAATGGATTTGGGGAAAGAAAAACTCATTAGATCTACATAAAAGATTAACTTAGAACTAGCTGTTCTCACCCAGAAAATAGATTGCAGCATTTCTGARTATAGCTCAATGAACACATTAACTCATTACACAATGCTCAAAAAGGCAAACAGAGTATGAAGGATTACTGGGTAAACAGACCAAAGCAGAAAACATTAGAACAGATGAATCACGAGCTCACTTTTTGCATACTGTGAGCAGTCCTCGTTCCCTTAAATTGGAGACGAATCRCAGAATGGGGGGGACAAGAGTGGCTGGGAGAGAATATATAGATGAGAACTTTCTAGCCTGGAGAGAGAGATTCCTGAAGGGCTGACAGTAGCAACGGCACAAAGAAACAGCAATGGGATCAAGCAGGAGAACAGATGCAATTACTCATTATTTCTCAACAAAACTAAAGTACCACAGAGTATGGCAGAGTACCAAACTAAAAGGCATCAAAAGAAATGCTCACCTAGCAAGGCACAGGAGAGGATCCCGTAACAACCATGGGAGCACTTTTTCACACAGTTCATAGTTAAACTGTGGAGCTCACTGTCAAAGGATGCTGTGCAAGGCCATAGTGTAGAGTGGTTCAGAAAGACATTTATCTCAGACCTAATGGAGGTATAAACTGCTTCCAGGACACTCTACACAAACAGATAGAACTGTCAATATAAGATGTATTTCTTGCCCATCCACATGGTCCCACCATATCTTACTTCACTTTAGATGCAGCACCTGTACTCAGATTAACTCACCATGAGATCTGTKTATATTTTTGTACTTATTCTGCTTACTTACCTCTTCTTCTTTATTCTTAGGGGTACTTACTTATCCCTTCCTTTATTCTGGGAAGCTCTTCAGGATGCCCCAAGCCCTTGCTCCTGGGCTGGGTGCGTTCTGTTCCACCCGGCAGTAGAGTTGGTCACGACAGCGCTCCTGGAGGGATGCACARACGCCAAGGAGCACAAGCAGCAGGTGCTGCAGCTTTCTGGCAGTTATCTGCTCATTGCCCAACTGCCTTATCTGCCTTTCCACAGGAGCTCCCACTGAACAGGCCCCATTCGCATCAACAGTTCAGCAAGGTCAGGCTACCTGCCCAGYGGTACAAGCAGCCGCACTCTTGGCTCACTCCTTCTCTCCTTAAAACACATGTTCTGTTTTCTCTCTCCTGCTGTCTTGGGATCCTGTTCAAGGGCTTTCAGGGTAGGTGGTTAGCGAGCACAGAGAAGCTGCTGTTCTGGTTCAGGAGCCACGAGGCAATATATAAAYGAGAGGCTCGCTGCCCCCAAAGGTTAGGGGATAGGGTACAGGAAGCCGCACCGAGCTGCCCAGTGCCGCCGCCTCCCGGCCCCCGCCCGGCCTGCGCAAACCCCGTGCTGTCTTATAACTGCATCACATCTCGTGCGGTCACGCTACTGTCACTGACCTGCAGGCTGTTTTACTTCAGGATGCTGAAAAGACCTTCTTCTTTCCTGTGCTTATCTAATGATCAATTTTGCTGAAGAAAATGCAGGAAAGGTGAAGTTCACTCATAAAAGTAGAATCTAGCAGAAGGGCTGAAAACAGTATTCACACTTAGAAACAAAATAGCTGCCTCTTAGCCCATACATCTCCTTACAATGAGTATTTTGGACATATTTCCATCAGAGGTTTCTCCCCTCCCCACGAAAACAGACACACATTCTCATTTAACAACTAATTGATTTATTTAACAATACAAATTTCTTTCTACTGCATGTTTTAGCAGAGAGAACTTGAGAAACAAAATTAGCTTCTTTTTTTTTTTAAAGTTTAAATGTTTACACAAAACAACCTTTACTTCAGTAAATATAAAATTTACACACAAAAAAACTACATTAAAAAAGAACAGATTCAGGACAAACCAACAAAAAAAAAGGGGGTTGGGAATTCAGTGTAAAGGATCCAATTGCAAGGAATGCAAGATGGGGCAACACTAACAAGGCATCCCACTCGTACACCTAGGTATTTTAAGTTGTAGGTACAATACAAAACCCAGAATACATTAAAATTAGGATTAAAACCTTTATTGTTATACCATAATATTTTATGATATAAATCTGTTAATTCCGTAGGCAACATAGTTAACATGTGAAATACATGGTTTGCACTTCACTGGGAAGTCTCTGGAGCGGCGCAAAGCGCTGGGCAGCATCGCCGTGCGCGGAGGAGCGCAGTGAGCAGACGGCACGGCCCACACACACGCATATCCCCGGGTCTCCTTGCCAAGCTGTGCTGGTTCTCCCTGTGTTCAAGGACACAGCGAGAAACTCGGGTCACCTTCAGCGGTGATTTCCAGCACTTCATCTCCTGGCATTAGGCTGTTACCTAGTGCATGTGTGTGGACCTGCCAGATCTCCTGTTTCTCATTCCCTTTTGCACCCTGACCTCTAGAGCTATCCTGTAGCTATCAAGAGGGATTGGTTTCTAGGTGGAGATACTTGGGATCCACAGTTCCTCAAACCACCTTTAGCAATCTGGAGAAAGTAGGCTGGACGATTCATGCTCAAAGGTCATCTGATACAAAAGCAGATCTACATTAGTGATGGCTAATTTTAGATTTAGATCTTTCAACAGTTTCTATTGCTTTAATATTTAAACTTAACATTCAGTTTTCAATATATTAAATGCACAGAGCTTCTTATTGATGGAAGTGCTACAGGATCTCCAAAAACGCCAGGTGATAAGGGAGAGAGAGTAAAGATTGAAATTAGCTGTAATTTTAAAAATCCTTTAAAGGGATCAAAAGTTCTTTTTATAATCAATATTGTGACTGGCAACCTACAAAAGCTTAAATTATAAAATTACTAGTGACTCTGCTTTTTCAAGTATGTGTACTACAAAGCTGTATCTTTGTTACTTACAGATGTTACAAAATTTTCAAGGCAGAAAGAGAAGAAGGGGGAGGAAAAAGTAGTCCAAAAGTCTTACACATTTCATTTTCACTAACAAAGTTATTTCCCCCACAACTGTTTTTATGTCATAAAAATGTAATTAAATTTATTCTCATCCTTCCTTTCTTTCTGGACAGATGATAGAGTAGTGTTCAATCGTGCTTTGGAAGACCATTTTCAATGGACAATTGTAATTCTCCAGAYTGGCAAGTCACACTTGCTCTGATCTGAAATGAAAGCACCAGACTCGGTAACGTTGCCCTAGTCCTGTGGAATTAAAGTTTGCAGCAAGATTGAGGCACCCTGGCACCCTGAGGCGAGCGGCTCCCAGGGCCCTGGCAGGAGCGGGGCAGCTCCAGCTCCAGCTCCTCCTCCTCTGGAGAGAGAGAGGGAGCGAGAGAGAGCGAGCGAGAGCTCCACAGCACGGAATTTAAGGAAATGGTAGAAACGACATTTGTTCTGTAAAAGAAAAGCAGGGGAAATTTAAACRATCCACGGGTGTGCATTAACATTTACTAGCAAGCCTTTGCTTATGTGTATTAATTTAAAGATTACCCACAGGGATCTGGGATACAATGGCCTTGCCTTGTTACTATAATTAAATTTATTCAAATATTAATTTAAAATAGGAAAACAAAGAAACTGCTCCTTGGGGAACATGTTTATTGTGTTTGAGATGATACACTGGGTGCTCTCTGAGCTACAAAGGGAAAAAGGAAATCCTTTCATTACAAACTGACAAAGGTAAAAGTTAAAACAGTTTTCACAACAGCATGTACCACATATTGGAAATAGATCTGGGTTTAATACAAATGACATAATTCCTAGTAATCTACAGCTACCTTTAATAACTTCATACAGATAATGAATTAGGCTAAAATGCACTATAATATTTGGTTGACTTCAGGAACAGTATCCTTAGTACATCACAAAATACATTTTGATATCCCAAAGAAGCAAGACTTGCAAGTAGGCATTTTAAACATAACTAATCTACAGCTACAAATTTCTACTCTTGACAGCATTTACCTTTTTGGGGGCAGTATCCCAGTCTTCAAAAGGATAAAAGCAGAGTAGAATCAGTTTAACATATACACAGAAGTCCGTATTGTAAAGGCTATAAAGATCTGTTGCACACTGTAAAGCTGCCTTCTGCACCTTCACACTGCACAAGTAGTTTGTCATTTATGTTGCATATCTCTTGGTCCACTGTCTGGCTATCCTGTCATGTTCTGCTCTGTTGGTCAGATACTGAGTGGCTATGCTTCCGACCARAGGATCAGCTGCAAAAGACACGAGAGGGTATGTCAGGAACCATCCCACAATGAAGAGCCAGGGCTCAAAAACCACAGTCTATTCCAAAACACTTTGTTAGGGCAGCAAATGCTGTGAGATGTAACGAGGGTCTWATCATACAAGACATTTCCAAGAGAAAACACACAAGGCACATTGAATAGGAAGATGTTTTAATCTGGTTTGCTAGTCTGAGTTTTTGTAGGTTAAAAGACAGGCAGAGAGCTTTGTTCAAATGCTGCAGCTGCTCTTTTCAGCTAAAACTTGGCAAAAGCAGCAGAGGTAGTTTTGTGAGATCACCAGCAATCCAGGAACTTTTCTGTCAGGTACAATTTGCTACTACTTTCAACAACAAATGTTGTCAAACTACAAACCTTCCCCAAAAGCCTTTCATTTTCTGAAAACCTAATCTGCTCAAGGAGGGCAAACATCCCCTACACAGACAGACGAGCTGCCAGCTGATGGTGATGGACCTGCAGACAGGTACAAGAGYTCCCTTGCAGGCTGCAGAACGAGGAGCTTGTCGCAGTCACAGCAGGCAGAGCCTCCTCTCTGGCCGGGAAGCTCTGGTCGCCTGAGGCCAGGATGYGTCCCCCAGACCAGAGCACCCTGGGGAGGGCAGTGCAGTGCCACCATACCAAGGGGCACCAACATTTTGTATCTAACACGCTGATTTGTTTCTCCCTGTTCCTTATCGGTCTTCTCTAAATGAATCTCAGCCTCACCCCTCGGTTCCTCTATGGAGCACAAGCCATTGGCATTCACTGCATGACGACGCTGCTCATACAGTCGTTGCTGTGAAACCCTACTGCTTCCAGGGAAGTTCCTCAAAGCCCAGCAGGAATAAGGGGCTTTCTCAGAAAATGGCAAACGTTGGGCCCATCACAGCTGCAAGCTTAAACATTTCAGCTGTTATCTGCTGAGAAGGGACTTCCTGCGGTCACTTCCAGTGTGAATGATTTATGACTCAGTGAATTCAGAGAAATCCTGTGGCCTTCCTGGATACTTGGTTCACTTGCTGCAGTGGTTGGGATACAGGCCTGCAATGGATTTCTTCTCTACCACACCTCTGAAAGAATGGGCTTAACAGTGCTGGTTTTCTCTTGTGTCACAGGAGTGAAAAGAGCCCTTCAGTGTGGAACCACATGCCAAAAGAGCAGCATTTCCTCCCCAGTTTTAAAGAATTATTAATTTTGATTTAATCTACAATCAGACATACAAATTATACATGATATGTATCATGTGAAATAATGCAAACAAGTAAGGGGTGATTCTCAGTCAGTTCCTTACCAGGGTTGCAGTCTGTCAAAAGAGAACAAATGGAGAGCAGAACCTTTGAAATAGTCAGAGCAGGGCTCCAGTTGTCTTTCAGAATATCCAGACAGATGACTCCCTGACTGTTGATGTTGCAGTGATAAATTCTGGTACGGAAAGTAACCTGGAATCACCGTGTGAGAGAAAGAAGGAAAGGAGACGTTAACTGCTGCCTCGCAGGGCAGTCCCGGCTCTCAGGGAGCAGAAGTGTCTGTCTCAATTCTGCAGGACTCCTGTGGAGGCCACTCCTCTCTGTTCATTTTCTAAAATCATTTCACTTGAGAGAAAAGGGCTTATTGGTTTGTTAGTCATGGTTACTTTTTAGRAGAGCTACCATGGAAGTCTGTGCTGCACAAATTACCTTCCCAGAGGCAACTCTGTCTGGTAACACTCTGTCATTCTGTGCACTATTTAATGAAGATATTGAACTGCATGTCAAGGATTATCTGCCACCAGCAAAGTTTTATTGCACTTATCAAATACAAAGAAGTAGACAGAATTTCTCCTGCTTATTCAATCATAAMTTGATCATTTTCTTACTTCCGAAAAGTAATACTTAAAACTAGAATATAGCATTTTTCTTCTAATTAGCATCTAACTAAATCTTTGTAATATCTTTTATTAGGCAGGACATAACATACTATCTAAAACAACGATATGATACCATCTAAAACAATGGTATCATAATGACACCATACTCATTTTAAAATTATTTCACACTAGTACTGGTAAACAGTGAAGTATAATTCTGCATAAAGGAGAAGTTAGAAATATTTGAAGTGCCATAAATACATAAAGCAGAATAAGGTGAACTAAATATTGGGTTTTTGTACCAATCCATTAAATGTTTTATAAAGCCACTGAAAGTCCCAAAATGACCAAACTGAACACAAATCCTCATGATTTTCATGGAGAAATTTATCTAAAATCTCCCTTAGGAGAATTTTATCTCAGTCCTAAATCAGAGAACATTAAATGCTGTGAATTTTGGAGATGTATACGTATTTCTTTATATATTTATATATATATACACACATATATATATATATACACACACATACACTGTATACTTATTCTTTATGTTATAGTGCTTTAGGGAATGAAGAAAYAAAATACTGTATTTATCATAACAACACTATTGCCACAGCCGACATAAGTATTAGGAAATATTGTGTGCTTGAACATATTTATTCTTTGTAAATGTCAGCAATGTCCTTCTGGTTTCATGGACAGAATTTGTAACATGGCATGGTGGTGGGTGAGAGGGCTGACATGGGAACACCCATCAGCTTCCCTGGCATCCATTAGGAAATCATGATTTCATAAATGTCCCTATTAATTCTAAGCCAGGAAATAAAATGTAAGTTAAGATTGGTTTCATTTTATAGACAGAGCTTTTGCTGCTAAGTACTATCAAACCAGGCTGCTGACCTAACCAGCTGCACCTACCCTGATATTTTACAATAGTGCGTGTTGTCACAGTGTTCAGCCAACCTGAAGACACACTTAACACTATCAAAATGAATCTACTTGTAGCCTTCTTTAATTTTGGTAACGATTACCTGAAAAATATATGACAGCTTTGGCTTAGAAGGGAGAGATGATTGCACATATATTCAGTTAGGTAGACTGAGAAGCAGTCTAAGAAACCTAAGAAGGTTTCTGCACTTTTCTATTAAAATCKGTTTTTTGACTCTTACAATCAGAATGACCACCTCATTTATCCCTTGGAAAGGCTCGGGAACCAGCAGTGCTGTGGCACTCATCAAATAAACCAGGCACGGATTCTTTTTTGAAATTGCAAGCCAGGATTTCAGGCCCTTTAGCTTTCAGAAGACCATAAGCAAACTTGACTTCCAGAAAGTGCTAAGCACTCACTCTTTACAAGTAACATTCACCTGCATGGAAAGAAATGAACAACACTGTAAAAACCTTATCCTTACCTTTGGTGGTTTGAATGGRTAGTCAGATGAAAATGTGATATCCAGGAAAAAAACACCTCCTTCATATACAGAACCTGGGGGTCCGAGTATAGTAGATCTCCATTCATAAATGTTATCTCCCTTAGGACCAGCACTGCGGAGAGGCGGAGAGCAGAGCGAGAGAGTCAGGTGCACCTCTGAGACAGGTACTTCATGGATTTCCTTTGATATCTATTTGCTTTGTTTAATACTAACCACTTGCATATCCATAATGTTTGCCTCATTTCCGACCAATTTCAGTGGTTTCAGTGTTTTAAATAGGTACAAAACTTGGCCTGGACACAACAACCAGGACACTTGGCTGTCCCTGGACTTTCGTGCTTTGAACACAAAGGATGGCCAAGGAGCAACTCCTGGTGCGTCGCTGCCTGAAGCTCCTCCCAGCTCTGGGYTCCAGCAGATCCGGTAGCTCCAGAGCATCCTGGTCCTTCCTGTGACACAGTTCCCATGTACTGAAGCTGCACATCACAACCACGCTCACTGAGCCCATCACACCTGCATAAAAGTGGGACCTACGAGCACACCGATACCCACTCATTGGCGCTTTTTTGCTGCCTATKGGGTGATACATTATCCACTCACTGTGTGAATTCACATTTCCTGCTCACACAAACAGGAAAATGGGATGGGAGAGACTGGATGAAGTAAGCTGGAATTTCCTCGACTTCTCAGACACTCTAATTACTGCTATTAACCACAGCAACCATCCAACCTCACAARAAAATCAAAGCAGAACCTTATTTCCATAATCTAGTCTCAGTGTAAAACCTGATCTACTTTTCATGGAAAACAAGGTGCAGAACCCCAGGTGCTGCCCCGTCAAAGCGAGTGCAACGGGACGAGCGCTGCGGCATTCCTGCCATCTCCTCCCAGTGCCGAAGCGCCGTCGCRTCGCCCTATGTCCCAGCAGCCTCCCAGCCCCACGTCCATGGGGCGCACAGCGGGCCTCGCGCTCCCACAGCTGGCACCAGCGACTCCCACATCCCGCTGCGCGGGAAGCGCGGGCTGCAGCCGGYGGCCTGGGGCTTCCAGCCTGGGAACCAGCAGCAGCAGCCGGCGACTCCGTGGCCAGAGCCCGGCCACTGTGACCTTGCGGGCAAACCCGGGAAACAACCACAAGYCGGTTTTGATTATGCATTCCCTTTCAGTTCGTAATTTCCCAAAATGTTTTTATTTTGTGACTGCTTCATGTACCAAATGTTTAAACTGTTGCAGTCCTTTTCTTCCTGGGACAAGAATAATTATGAATTCTGGCTGACATCCTTTTTAATTAAAAACAAAGATTTGTAGCACTGCAGCTATTTTCCTTTTGCCAAAAGGAAAGCGGAGAGCAGCAGTGTGCTGGCCTTCAGAGCCCAGCCAAGGCAGAAAAGTTAGAAGTGATGTTAATGAAATTTGGCCATAAAACATTACTTATATCTTTCTATTTGCAATGCATACACAAAAGGGGAGAGAAAAACTAGATAAATTTTAGAGAAAAAGCGAAAATCGACAGGTGAAGAGGCCATTTTTTATGATGCAAGGAACTGTTTGCACCCTCTGTTTGCACCAGTAGATAATTCCATTCGTGCTCTCTAAGAAGCTATTAGCGTAAGATCTAAAAATACTGGGCAATAATGATAATATTTAAAACCCACAGAGGCCACCAAGATGTTTTAGTTAATTCTTGACATTCATCAAGCTTATATCTAATTAGCATTATGCTTGGAAACCAAATATTTATGGAGCAATTGGATTTCTGCACTCACTGTCCTAATGGCTGTTTAATGCAGAGGTTGGTGCTCTTGCCTCACGTGGCAGCCACCTTCCTCCCACACACCTTTAATGGCTGGATGTGATTCAATCAGATTAAAGAGAGCTGAATTAAATTAGTGACATATTTCAGCCCAGCGAATCCGTCACCATCAAGTGTGGCTCCAGCAACTAGTCCTGTGCCAAACTCTCCGGGAATCACTCTCCAAGGCAGCACAAGGGCATCTATCACTTCCCAGCCACAAGTGAAGCGCAATAACTCTCTGCCTGTTATTGTCTGCCATGCTCTTCTATGCTACTGTAGGCAATATATAAAGGGTAAGGCTGCAACGTGAGCAGGGGAATCCTGATCCCTGTGAGGGGAAGGAAATGCTGTGTTCAGCCTCCCTGGCACCACTGCAAAAGCATTCCAGCAATACCAAAAGTAATATATAACTGTCATAGACTGCAGCAACATCAAAAGTAATATATAACTATTATAGTAAACACACTTGGGTAAAGGTAAAAATTGTTAAATTGGAAGTTTGGCCATTGCATTACTCCTGACAGCCTTGTGAAATACCCCTTTTAAGAGCCGGAGTGTTGCCTCACTTGGCAGCAGTGCAAGAGCTGCCCCTGCTCCACTAACAACTCGGCAACTGCAGCAACTCCCCCATGGCTGGTAGGGGGAGAGAGGAGACACCGGTGGGACGGGACCCGCCGGGCTCTCCGCTGCGCTCGCGGGCTCTGCTGCAGCCCCGCTCCCACAGCCACSGCCGCCTTGCGTCCGACACTGCCGGGGCCTGCGGGGAAGCCAACAGGACTGCACGTGATCCTCACGGAGCCACCATAAAGGCCCCAGAAATAGGGCATGTCCCCTCGGGCCTGTGTGGTTAAAGGATCCTACTCCATCCACTCCATCCCAACAAGAATCCTGGCAGAGCAGAGGACCTGCTGCCTTCTTCAGCGCCCTGGCCACACAGCCCCACCACCCGCCTGTGCCGTTCATTGCTACCAGCCCACTGCTCTGTGACCCCAGCCTGCGGAACAGCCCGCTTTTAGTGAAGACACTGGCAGCGTATTCTCAAACTAATAAAAGAAACCACCAGGAATGCTTCATTTTTAAAAGCATGGGTTAAAAAAAAAGAAGCTAGGAAAATAAAAACAATGCAATTTGAAATGACAAAAATATTCTTTACAAAATTGAGATGTTTTTACTTAAGACATAAAAACTGCATCAATTTTTTAATAAATTGCACAAATTGACAGAATAAAGCCAGCTGGCTACATCTGCTTCCTCCGCAAATATTCATTACTTTGCTCCGCAGAGGGAGCTCTACAYGATCCAGCTAAGACAAAGCCCTTGCGCCAGCGCTCTGTGCAACTAGTCAGCTGAACAGATTGAATTTACAGGCGTGACTTCAGATGGCGAATTTGAGAAGACACGAGGTTAAACTCCAGGGGACGACAGGGGCACATCAGGTTCTTTAAACCTAACACTGCTGAATCCCRTGTCTCCGGTTGCCCGCGGATGAAGGGCTTTGCCAGCACGGAGCTGGGAGCGTTCACACGGAAGCGGCAGCATTTACACCGCCGGGACGACTCCCAGGCTCCTGACATGGTTTCCTACAGAAATCAGAACTCAGCGTTTTTTGCAACCACTAAATCAAAAGGCATTAAAGCTGCCTGTATGGAACCAGCTGCGGGATGAGAAACCAGAACAAGAAACTTGCAGTTTACGTGATCTTAGCAGCCTGCTACTTGCTGCACTCACTAAATACACTTGCTGTCAACAGCACTCCTCTAAACAGACAGGACAGGGCCAGAACATAACTTCGTAGCACTGAGACCGTGGAGACTAAAAAGAAAGAGGCGAAGGACATGTAATTTAGCTATATCAGTGTAAACTTTGCGGTCTTTTGTTATGAGACATGATCTGGGTCTGTAACAAGATATAACTGAGGAAAAAAATATATGTATTTTTTAGGAAGCTTCCTGACAGACATAATCTTGTAAGAAATGCGGCTGGTACCATAAAGCTAAAGGCACTCGTCTATATCCCAGGATGACCATCGGGGATGCTAAGCACTGACTGAAGTGGTAGATTCCCAGTGTGTGTGAATCCCAACTTATCAGAAAGCTCCAACAGAGAGTGAATCACTCTGAATGATTCAATTCTGGATGACCAAATATTTTTCTAGCGTCTCCTTTCAAAGGCCCCACTCTTTGGACCTATGCTTCAGGCTCCCCAGCTAGATAGCATAAGGACGGCAGCTCACAAACCACACGGGACACATGGAGCAAGAGGCAGGCAGGAAGAGCAGCCTCCCCAAACCTCAGTCCCAAGGTAAGATTCAGCACAAGTGAACTGAACAAGTGAACAAGGGCTCTTCACACAGCGCCCCGCACAGCGCCCCGGCCGCAATGGCTCACGAGGAGCTGCACAGCASTGCACATTTAGGCAGGGCATTGCCAAAGGAATATGTTAACTTTTTCTGGTTTTCTTAATTCAGCTGTAGGTGCTGAGACAAAGGAACAATTAATGTCTGCACATATGTTCCACAACTACATACTTGAAAAATCCAGGTCRTAAAGCTACACGCTGAGTTTTGCAAAATCCACAACACAGCTTCAGGRATCAAATTTTACAAATCCTGCTATAAAAAAGGCACTCAGCACACCACCGCTCTGAAAGGCTTTGGTTTGGACAGGGAAATCYCAGTTAATGTTCTTGGATGGCGTTCTAGGTTGGCACAACCCCACCAGAGGCTAATGGGGCCACAACATGTCCAAGCAGGACACGTAATGCAGGGAAAGGCACAGCCGCCGTGTGCAGTGAGCCTGGTGCCTGCCCCTTCGTGCAAGCCCCGAGGAGCCCGTCTCCCGCGCAGGCAGCACGCGGCAGGGCTGCCGGCACCAGGAGCGCAGCGGCAGCGCAGCCCAGCACCCCCAGGCCGGAGGCTGGCACTTGTAGCCCACACCTCCTAAAAATCAGTGGGAGATCAGCGACCCGCCAAGGCCCACACACTGTTTTCAGGAAATGCTATTTTGAAGACAGCTTGGCCATATCCTTTTTTAGAAAAACTCTTTGCGTCCAGTGACTTCCATTTGCTTTATTCCTCAGTTTGCATGGCTTTCGGGAGCCCCTCCTCTCTATATCCACAGGAATAGTGGCAGTGCCTCTCTCCATACTTACAGAGCACGAGTGGTAAGCTCTCTATGCACAGAAACTGTATCACTGGGTATCACTGGCAGAAGCCTCAAAGGTAGCCCTAATTTTTGGATGAGAGCATCTCGCTGTGGTAGGATACATGTGGGTTGGCTACAGCAAAACATCAAATTCATCTTGAAAATGGTTTTTGC